TGCAATTCATTGCCATGTTACGGAAGCGCTTGACAAAATTGTCAACTGACTCTCTCTCTTTTTGCTTCTCATCCAAAAGGGTTCCGATTGACACTTCGGTGTCATCATCGAAGAAATTGCTGAGGAACAAACTTTCCATGTCATCCCAGCAATTGATGCTTCCTGGCTTGAGCCGTCGGTACCAATCGAAGGCGGGTCCACGAAGGGTGCCAACGAATGACCGGACCATTAAAGCCTTGTTTCCAGAGATCATGCTCAAATGAGACTTGAAATAAATCAAGTGCTGAATCGGCGAACTCTTCCCTTCAAACGGTGTGAAGTTAATCAGATTGAACTTCGCCGGGTACGGTATTGAATCCCATTCCCTTGGATAGGGACATGGAATACCCGTCTTCTTAACTTCTTGAGCCGTCATCAAAGCGTTGATTTTGTTTTCAAGCTCTTTCATTTTCCCGTCATCGTCTCCATTTCTTTCTGAATGATGTCGAGTAAAGATAATTGGACCACCCCCAGTGAGAGGTGCTATTGAACCACCCCCAATATCGTTATTGGGAGGATCCGTTAAACCACCCCCAGCGTTATTGTCATTGGGAGGTGTATCAGCCATAATGACTTCATCCACCTCTGGATCACTGTCATCTACAACATTCCGAGTGTGGTGGCTGGATTCAAATCGCTGATTGGACTCAGGAGGTTGAGGCTGTTGAAATTCTCTCATTTGTTGGATAGCTAACTCCATTTCTGTCTTCACTTCAGCTCTAATTTCTTCACGTTGTTTGGCTAGAGCTTCTTGAAGTATTTGAGCAAATTGATCAGAGGTGATCGTGAGTACCTCTCTGGTTTGTCCTGTGCTAGACATTGTATCATCAGAAGCAATTGCAGAATAAGTGTCCGAGAATTTATCCTCCGAGGATATTCCTTCCTGCATTCTTTTGTAATCTCTGCGTCTGATGGCTCCTAATTGTAGTCGGGACATCCTTTGAGCAATTCTTGGATTGACTTTTCCTCTCGGAGAAAAGTCGGGATTTGAGTCATTTGAATGCCGCTTAGACTTTCTTTTATCAGCCACGTTGATGGTGACTTCAGGGAACTCATCATCTTGGACAGCTGATCTTATAAGTCGTGCACAGGAACAACGAGAGC